CCTTATAGATCAAACATGGAACGAACAGCTAATACAGTTACATTCTGTATATTTTTTTTTTGGTCACGACTTACATGCGTGTTCTCATATGTTTCGCATAGATATAAATAACTACCAGGCAATAATTGACTCAATAGAACATATGATTCATTTTTTCGTTCTTTATTTAGAATCTTTTGCATTATATATTTTCTTTTTCATCTGTTCTTCTCTTTTGTTCTTCTTTCCAGTTATGATTTATGTCGTTTATCCATTTTCTCTAGGCAAGTCGTACTTTGCTATGAAGAAAATAGCAATGCACATTACCGACGTCAACAGTAAAGAAAAGAAAAAAAGAGAAAGGAATAAGTGCAAAGAGTCGCCGGGTTTATTTTATTTCATTTCTTTTTAATACGTACTACATATAATACTCGTATATAAAAAGTGTAACTGATCAAAAAGTTCATAGTTTAATTTTAGAATCAATTTATTATGGAACAAGTTGTAAGATTCTATTTTCAAATAATTTATACTAATAACATTATACGATATTTTATTGTTAGAAATCTGCATTGAAAACAGTTCAACAAACAGTTACTGAAGGTATTCATGATCTGACCGTTAGTAAAGATGAAAAAAAAGATGAACAAAAAAAAACCTAATCAATCAACACCAACAAAAAAATCAGTACCGACAGGATCAGCGGCATTAAAACTTAAAGCTTCGAAACAAATTAGTATTCGTGGTATTCCATTGGTAAGATCTATAAATTATTTTTATTTTTTAAAAGAAAACTAAAATGTTTAAATGTCGATTTTATATTAGTTAGAAAATGTTCAAGGAGTAAAGAAAACTTTCAATCGTCATTTACATTTTACTGTTGTTAAAGATCGTGATGTTGCTACTCAACGTGATTATTATTCATCATTAGCTTATACTGGTTAGTTTTACATAGAAAATAAAAGATTAGTTACATATGTAAATCTTTATGTTTGAATATATAGTTCGTGATCATCTTGTTGGTAGATGGATTCGCACACATCAACATCATTTTGAATCTGATGGAAAAGTATAAAATTTCTGTAAAATGAAATTCAAATATTTATTTACTTGTATTTTAGCGTGTTTATTATCTTTCTATGGAATTTTATATGGGACGAACATTAGCAAATTGTATGATTAATTTAGGCATTGAAAATGATGTTGATGAAGCTCTTTATGAATTGGGTTTAAATATTGAAGAATTAGAAGAATTTGAAATGGATGCAGCACTTGGAAATGGTGGTTTAGGTAAATTATTATTAAAAAAGAAAAATTTGAAATCATAACTTTTATTTTATTTCAATTATCTTATTTAGGTCGATTAGCTGCTTGTTTTCTTGATAGTATGGCAACATTAGGACTTTCATCATATGGATATGGTCTTCGATATGACTATGGTAATAATTTATAATAGTAATTTAATTATATATTCTTTTTCTTGAATTAAGGTATTTTTACACAACAAATTAAAGATGGCTTTCAAAATGAAGTTCCAGATGATTGGTTAAGATATGGTAATCCATGGGAAATATCTCGACCAGAATTTCTTGTACCTGTGCAATTCTATGGTAAAGTTATTGAAGAAAATGGAAAAAAGAAATGGGTTGAAACTGAAATAATTCAAGCTATGCCATTTGATACACCAGTAAGATTTTATTAGTGTCTGTTTAAGATAAATCTTTGTAATTAAAAATTGAGTAAATTGATCAGCTTTTCAGTAAATATTTTCGTAATCAACTTGTAATATTCATAAATTTAATCGGTCTTTCTTTTATCTAAATTTCGGCTGTATATAATGAAAATAAATATCTTTTTAGATTCCTGGTTATAATAATAATGTCATAAATACACTTCGATTATGGTCAGCTAAAGCACCAGGAAAATTTAATTTTCAATTATTCAATGCTGGTGATTATATTCGTGCTGTTGCTGAACAAGTAAACTTAAATAAAACGTTTTACTTTAAAAATTCTTTCATTTATTATTATTATTCTAGAGTTTAACTGAAAATATTACTCGTGTATTATATCCAAATGACAATGTATGTATAAAGAAATAGAAAACAAAAATTTCGACTAATAATTTTTGTTTATTTAGTTTGATGAAGGAAAAATTCTTCGTTTACAACAAGAATTCTTCTTAGTATCAGCATCATTACAAGATATTTTAAGACGTTATAAACATTCCAAACCATATTCTGCAACAGATAATGCTGGATGTGTATCATTCAATTGAACAGCT